GCATTGCCCAAAACGACATCATTTTGGAGCAAAAATCAAGGTGTTTTTGTAATTTTAATTTATTTCAGGGTTATAATAGTCTTTATAATTATAATTTTTCAATATTTCAACACCAAAACGACGTCGTTTTGGGAGTAAATGCAGATAACTTATCTGCAGTAACTGCAGAAATATTTTTCTGAAAACTATATTAGTCTTTCACGCATTAGCATTTTCTCATTCCCGCTTTTGGGTTTGACCAATGGTTTGAAAATTATCTTCTTCATTTAATATCAGAATTATGCATATATGATTATAAGACTCAATTTTTTTTATTAAAATAAGTCTAAATTTGCATATAGAACTTAAAGTTCATGATAAAATTTCGTTTCGAATTTTTTGCAATTAATCTTGAAAACCTTGGATTTTTTTTTCTACGTGATGAGTTTTCTAACCATATATCATATGCATGTTTTCATTGAGTATTTCACGAAAATTTCGAATCTGAATTTCTGGGTTTTATTACATAAAAGTTTAAAAAATTTCTCAAATTATTTTCAATCGATATATTGAAACCTTAAATTGCTTTGGGATGTTTAAAAGTAAGTTTTTAGTTATTTATTGACACAAAAATTGTTTGAAATAACTTTTTATAGCGAATGAATTTCGTTCATGAATGTATTGTTACAAAACATAGTATTCGTATTATGAAAGTTTCAATCTTTCTTTAAATTGATATTGTTTCATTGATGTAAAATAAAAATTGGTTTGAAGTTTTAGTTCCCTTATTGTTTTCCCACTGTTTTATGTTGTTTTTAATACAAAAATCACACACTTTTGTGCCAAGAAAAATCGCGACCCATAACTTGAAAATTTATTTTTTAAACTTCCGCAAGCTCTCAAAATCGCTAAAAAATATGCTATTTTTAATATGGATTATATTATAATCTTGTTGGTTTGTTGTTTCTGGGTTGTTTTATTACGAGAATCGCTCAAAAATCTGCTATTTTTTAGCTTTGACTTTTGCTTAGAAACTAATCCTAATTACCTCTTTGAGGCGAATCAGAACCCCCGGTATCCCTACGGGTTCGACTTTTTGAGCCGCCTATGGGACTAATCCAGAGTTCGATTGTGAGTTCAAGGATTACGGTACTTATGCCCCTCCCTAGATGGTGTTGGTGGGACTAATCTGCTATTTTTTAGCTTTGACGAAGCCCCCACGGTGAAACCCAGTTTCGAGCGGATCAACCCGCCAGAGGAAGAAGAATACACTGAAATAAAGAAATCTCAATAAATTATATGGGTTAGGGACTTAGGGTGAGATTATGGGAGAAGCATTCTACTTATATTTTTTCACAAAAAAATCTCACGAAATTCATACAAATAGAAAATCTATTAAAACCGTTAGATTTTTGAATCTCACAAGATTATTTTTTCTTTGTTTAAAATCCAGATTGAATATCAATGGATTTGGACGGACTCTAAAATAATTTTTAAAATTCTAATCGAATACCACGTGAATTTTTTTAATCCTGTAAAATCCTAATTGAATATCAATAAATTTTTTGTCCAAAAATATTCTATTAAAATCCTTTGAATACCAATAGATTTTTTTGTCCAGAAATAATCCATTAAAATCTCAATCCAAAAATATTACCACGTGACTTTTGCATTGTCAAATATATGTAAAAAGTTTTTATCATAGATAACAATAACTAGATCAGGTTGCCGCTGTAACTGCAGATTAGTTAACTAGTGATATTCATCCAGTCTGCAGATTTGTCTGAGACAAGTAAAACTGCTGAAAACCACTGATAAACCAATTTTAATTTTTTTAATTTTTTTTCTAAAATGAAAGCCTAATGCTAAGTTACAAACAATTTGCCCCACTTGGTTATATAAATTAAATGCTTAAACATGACATCTGGTGGTGACTTATGGATGGTGGGATACTAACTTGATTTAAGTTTTATTAGATTAATTATCATATGATTCTTTGTAATTTTTCTCGAATTAAACGCTGCAGACTTTTATAAAAATCTTTGTTTTTGTGAATTTGGGTATTGCTAAAGGAGTCTTAGTTTAAAATTGGCAAACAAATCAGGATATTTTTCGTGAATTCCATTTTCAAGTAAAGAGCCTTATGTTTGATCTTACCAATTCATAATTTTCTTGGTTGACAAAGTTTTATGATTTTAATCATGATTTGAGCCCAAGTTATCCAATTATTATTAGCAGAAAGGTGAGCCAATTGACCTTTAGCTTTAATTCCAAGTGCTTGTATGATCGAGAATATTAATTCAGAATGCATTATGATGTTCCCTTGGTGAATAAATTGGCTGATTTCTGTCCATAATCATTTCTTCATTTGATTGAACATTACCTGAATGGTTGGGGACCTCTTCGATTAATGATGAGAAAGGGCTTAATTTTTTACTAAGTAAAAACAAGCTGGAATGTGTATTGAAGAGTTAATTTATATTTTACCAAAGAAAATATTTTATTAACTGAATCAGATGACATAAACAATCACATTCCTGTGCTTCTTCATGCGTCGGTACGGCTGATGATTCTGTATTTTGGTCATTGAATCCAGATATATCAATAATGTGATTTCTTCAAATGATCAATAATAATAATAAACCAAAATAACATCTATAAATACCATCTTGCCGTTACACGGGCAAGTTATTTTCTTAAGTATCACACTTTACAAGCGGGATTAGAGGAGAGGCTTGTTAAACAGACAGTCTCACACTCACTAGCTACCGGTTCTTCATTATCATTCTTGTGCCAATTCCATAGTGCATGCGATGCATTTACCACCTCTAATATCCCATGTCCAAAGCTACCTGTTGTCACAGACCAAAAATAATTATTTCGAATCATGAAATTCTAAAGTGTTAAAAATTAATATTGCTTAGAGAAACAATTCAAAGGTTTAAGTACTTGTGATAAGAGCAGAGCTCTAAAAATGAAACAAAGAGACTATTTTATTCAATACCCCAATTCTGTTATCAGCAAGGTATATATACCACTGCACTATACCACTGCACATTACAACTAATATTCTGTAATTAATAACCAATCCCCTAATTACAAGGAAAGTCCTAACTAACTTGAGTATCATTATAACCCATATTAATGACACCCATTAATATGTCTGAAAGTCCACACAGCCCAACTTAGAACACCTACTATTCTTTTGGGCCTAGCCAACCCAACTCCATTCGTATCACTCGTCCCTCCTTCAAAAGGGACCTTGATCACAAGGTCCAACTCCAGATAAAATTGACAAGATCCTGTTCGTTCTCCCATGATGACTTAGAACCCGAGTGTTAAGAACAGCCAATGGTTGCTGAACTAGTTGATTCTCTCGATAAGTGGAGGGTAAATCTGTTGGAAATCGACAATCACACAGAATCGAGAAAACAGAAAAAGAGATAAAAGTAGAGAGATTGACACGATGATTTACCCTGGTTCACCCAATATAGGCTACGTCCAGCTTGTCTGTACTATATTCACCTCACCGCCACTCGTTACAAGTCTCTCGGTTTACAAGGCAAATATAAATAGGATTACAAGAAACCCTAACAACAGCTATTGATGGGCCCAAGCCCAAACTGCTAAGAAAATTACAATAGAACGTTGGGATTTGCATTAAAAGGCTTCAGAACTGAGATGTGAAATAAAGGATGGATGCGAGACTCGGGAGGTAACTCCAACTGATATGCAACACGACTCAGTACCTTCTTGACAGGAAAGGGACCATAATATCGTTTGGCAAGTTTTTGATTGCCTCTGCGTGCCACGGAAACCTGCCTATAAGGTTGGAGCTTCACCAAAACTAACTCTCCAACAGCAAATTCCTTATCTTTTCGATGTTTATCAGCAGTGAGTTTCATGCTGTTCTGGGCTGCTAGCAGGTGATGCTTAAGGCTTGCAAGTAGCTCATTCCTGTGAGACAACAAAGTATCTATAGCAGCAACTCTTACTGAACCTTGAGTATATGACGGAATCAAGGTTGGTTGCTTACCATATACAAGAACACTATAGGAAAGCTGCTGGGTCATATGTGTTGAGATGGTCTTCCTTTCAGGATTACTTGTCTTGCAGAAAATTAACAATTAAAAAAAAGGATAAAAAAAAAAAAAAAACACTATAACAAACATACTTCCATTGCTTTGGAAGGTTGCCGACTGTGGAGGAAAGCTGCTGGGTCATATGTGTTGGAATCAGTGGCTGAGGTGGTCTTCCTCTTAGGGTTACTCATCTTGCAGAAAATTAACAACACAATGGTTACAAAATAAAAAAAAATAACAGAATAAGAAACATATCTCCATTTATTTGGAAGGTTGTCCATTATGGAGGAAATTTGTAGACATACTAACTTGATTTAAGTTTTATTGGATTCATTATCATATGATTCTTTGTAATTTTTCTGGAATTAAACGCTGCAGACTTATATAAAATTCTTTGTTTTTGTGAATTTGGGTACTGCTAGAGGAGTCTTCGTTTAAAATTGCTAACAAATCAATATATTTTCCATGAATTCCATTATCAAGTAAAGAGCCTTATGTTTGATCTTACCAATTAATACTTTTTTTGGTTGACAAAGTGTTATGATTTTAATCAGGATTTGAGCTCAAGTTACCCAATTATTATTAGCAGAAAGGTGAGCACCTTTAGCTTTTAATTCCAAGTGCTTGTATGATCGAGAATATGAATTTAGAATGCATTATGATGTTCCCATGGTGAATAAATTGGCTGATTTCTTTCCATAATTATTTCTTCATCCGATTGAAAATTACCTGAATGGTTGGGGACCTCTTCGATTAATGATGAGAAAGGGATTAATTTTTTACCAAGTAAAAACAAGCTGGAATGTGTATTGAAGAGCTTTTTATATTTTACCAAAGAAAATATTTTATTATCTGAATGAGATGACATAAACAATCACATTCATTTCTTCATGCCTCGGTACGGCTGATGATTCTGTATTTTGGTATTTGAATCCAGATATATCGATAATGTGATTTCTTCTAATGATAAATAATAATAATAAATCAAAATAACACCTATAAATACCATCTTGCCGTTACAGGGGCAAGTAATTTTCTTTTAAGTATCACACTTTACAAGCGGGATTAGAGGAGAGGCTCGTTAACCAGACAGAGTCACTAGCAACAGCTTCTTCATTATCATTCTTGTGCCAAGTCCAAAGTGCATGCGATGCATTTACCACCTCTAATATCCCATGTCCAAAGCTAGCCTCCCTGAATATTGATATCTCTGGCTTGGGGTCTATGTACCTGTTGTCACAGACCAAAAATAATTATTTAAAATCATGAAATTCTAAAGTGTTAAAAATTGCTATATATTGCTCAGATAAACAATTCAAAGGTTTAATTACTTGGTGGCAAGGCCTTCACGGTTACCCCCATCCCCTATGGTAATATGCACCGGACCACAATTGTCACTTTTGTCTTTATAAACCCGTGTCTGAGAAAACAAGCAAATAGGTAACAAACCATGACAAGGAATCATGATAGAAATCTTGAATTAATTAACATAATCATTCATGACAATAAATAATAATGAGTGAATAATACTCACAAAGCGCTCATAGGCATGAACATGCCCTGCATAAACAACATCAACACGGGCTTGATAGAGCAAATCTTCCATGTCAGCCTTCATTGAAACGGACTCAGACTCACCCTGATGAGCAGTGTTGGAGTTGTACCATGGGGCGTGAATCAGAACCACTACCCAAGGAGTCTTTCCCCTGTTTAACTTGTGCAAGTCCCCTTGAAGCCAATTGTACTGTGAAGAACCAACACCAAAGTCGGTGTAGGAGCCAAGCATGATAACATGAACCCCAGCCACATCAAAAGAATAGTAAAGGTTAGAGTCTGATCCACTCTCTTCAAATGGCATTCTCCACCTTGCATTGTAAGCTGTGAATGAGTGAGGGTGAACCAATGGAATCTTCTCGACCTCATGGTTCCCTTGTGTGACCATCCATGGACGCTGGCTCGCTAATGGCTCAACCAAACGACCAAACGAGTCCCATCGATCTTGAATGAAGTCTGCATAGGACAGGTCCCCTGGTAATAGCAGCATATCATAGTTTGACTTTCCTACATGCTCCAAGGTTGACCTAGTCCAATCTGTTTGTCCAAGATCTCCTGCATGGTGCATACATTAATATAAAATCACATATTCTTAATGACATTATTTTTTCACAAAAGTTACATTGGGAAATGAAAATGTTAGAAAATATATATTTCCCAATGTGTTTTGTGGGTTACATATTATATTAATAATTATATTATGCTATTTAATAAATATTAGGTAAATTAAAGTGATCAAATAAAGATATTCAAATAAATTCTTAAAAAAGTGAGGGACAAATAGGTGGATACTAATATTGGGTCAACTAACAATAAAAAAATAGTATAAATGATTATAGGTTATGGTGCCTAATATATCAATAAACAACTCTAGTTTCTCTTCCTCATCAAGAGAGCGACACCACTTTAATTTCTAAAGAATAAAGATTAAAGTTATTTGACTGAGCTACTTCAAAAGAAGGGAAAATCAAAATTATTTCGCTACTATTGAAACTGGTATGCCTCCACCTTTCTATTAATACTATTTTATGATGGGTTTCCATTCTATCATTTAACATGACCACAAAAAGTTTCCTACACACACAACATTTTGTGGGGTCCGCATGTTTAAAAAAAAAAATTCTCACACGCAAAACGAATCTCTATAACATAACACAATCACCTTCCCTACAATATAACTCTTATGAAACCTTTTTATGATTTGGTACTATACATCTTGGTTTTTTAGTTTAAGGTTATCACCGTAAATTTTGGAGGAATTAATATTCCAACAGAAAATATTTGGTAAAATTTAATTAGATGTAGAGCACTTACCAACTACCGCAAACTTGATTGGAAATTGAGAGGGTGGAGTCTTGAAATTGTAGGATTGTGCAGGCGAGTCACCCAAACGGTAATAGTAGACCGTGTTGGGATTAAGGGGACCAATTACGACGTCGTGAATTTCACCGGACTCATAGGCAATGTATTGGTACGAAGTGGTAGTCCCTGTCGCAGAGAATTGGTTAGCCGAAGGAGATGGACCGTACTCAACTTTTGCAGAGGATGGGCTATCTGTAATCCACGATATCCTCATCTTGTCTTGGCCCACTTGAGATATGTGTACCTGTTTGGCCCAAATTCATTAGGTTTTCTGAAACATTTTTACACATAAATTGGCTAATAATTTGGTAATTTGGCTATTAAAGGATTAAAATGTGACAAGTCAGTGACAGTAATACTTACGACAACATATTAATGAGGACAATTTACCAAAATTGAAATCAAGATGTTAGCGTTTCATCAATAAGCAAAACTTCAAACAAAAACTATCAACAGAAAAATAAGAAAAATAATTTATCTAATAATAATAAGGATTTTTTTCCTATTCCCGGAAGATTATGTGAAAAGAAATATATTACAAAACTATTGAGCTTGTCCATTATAATAGACGTCCTAACAAACTCATGAATACAACAAAATCGTCTAGAACATGATACATTAAATATCTTACACAAAACTATTGATCTTGTCCATTATAATAGACATCCTAACAAACTCATGAATACAACAAAATCGTCTAGAACATGATACATTAAATATCTTACCCATAAAATATAAGATCTAAATGTTAACTACTTTTTTTATCATTTATTTAGGAAAAATGATATATATCTCAATTTAAAAAATAATAATATTTTTAAGTTTATTATTATTTCTAATATATTCATTAAATTAAATAAGTATAAATGTTAATAAAATAATAATGTTTTAATAAAAATTTAATAACTAATACCTAAAGAGTATAGTAAACCTATTTGTTTTTCTTTTCTATTTGTTCTCTTTAACTGTAATTCAATGTAATATTTTAATTAACATTTAATAGCATTTATTAAAATTTTAATGGCTTTAATGTTTCTACAATGTAGATAAATTATATATATTCGCTCCTAAAACAACGTTGTTTTGAATTGAAAAATTAAAAAATTATAATGAAAAAGACTATTATAACTTGAAATAACTGATAATTACAAAAATATCTTGATTTTCACATTAAAACGATGTTGTTTTGGACTCAATGTAGATAACTTAACTACATTTACCGTAAAAAAAAAGAATGCAAATTTAATATAGCATTTAGGTACATTTAATATAAAATTGATTCTTTCTTTAGAAAATGTAATATTTAATTTAGAGGCAGGTTATATTTACAAAAAAAATTTGTTTACAAATTCTTACAAACTACACTAAGTACGACCGGTCGCACTTAGTGTAATTTGCAAAAAAAGTTTGTAAACGGATATCCCTTTAATTTAATATAAAATTTAATGTAACATTTAATATCGTCTACTAAAGAATATAACAGTTGTAACTATTAATAAAATAAGAACATTTGAATAAGAAATTCATTATTATTATTAAAGAATATATCAAACCCCATTTTCTCTAACTATAGCATTGCTCTTGCATTAAATATGGCAAAGAACAACTGTTATTTTGTTTTATTAATGCAAGATATGAACTGACAGACGCAGGTGCCTAGTAGTGTCCATCATCATGTGAAACATTACTCTGCAGCGAGACTTTCGGTGCAGTGAGGCACACCCACAAGCAAACCCAGTCACCACTCCCCAATCACAATTCCACCATATTGGTTCGCGTGCCCAATTAAGACAATACCTTTCATTTTGGGCAATCGAACTCGTTTTCTTCTCCTCCACCTAACTACTAAGTACTAACCCATACATACATGATACAGACACAAACAGATGCACCAAGAAATATTAATGAACATGACGAGAAATAAATATTTATTTTATATAATAAAACTTTACGCGCTTATCATTTCCCCTATGACAAACCACAACCTGCCTAGCTCAGACATACTTATCAATAGGATGTTGCTTATGTGTGTTCGATTGTTTGTCGACCCTTAAATGCATGTAAATTTAAGTAGTAATTATTCATATAGAAATTTAAAACTAAAATTTGTAAAGTTGTTTACCTGTTGTGGCGAATTGGAGTCATCATCGTCATGTGGGACAAAGATGGTTTTCCGAGGTGGTGGCCGATTATAGCAATAAACGCCGTCGAATTCGTAGAATCCGACAATTACCGAGAGCAAGAGCAAGAGAACAAGGCCTGGCATTCGCATCCCGAACGTTGAAGGAAGAAAAAAGGAGTTTCGGGTCAAAATCAGAGTAAGAGTATATTTAAACGTGATTGAATATTCCACCTCCCCCGGCAATGAACTACTTCGTGTTTTGGAGTTCTCCTATATATAGCTGTCAATAAATCATATATTATATAGTTTTGTTAGATGAAAGTGTGAAGCTAGTCAATGATTGGCGTTATGTTCATACTTACAATCGATTTCGTGAATAAATGAAGCATTAAACGTGGACGTGTCTTGGAGCTCCACCTGGATATGAAGGGATATTCTCGACACATAGTCTACGCTCTTTTATTGTTGTTAGTTTTCCTTTTAAAATAAATAAATAAATAAATTACGTATATAACTTGTATACTATCATTTAATAAGAATGATATGTTATTAAAAAAAAGTTAAATTTTTAAAGTAATATCTATAAAAATAAAAACTTTTTAAATAATCTTATAAAACTAAATTATGATATAAAATTATTTTTGTATTATTCATTAAAACTAAATCCTTAATTGTTACAAACAGAAAAGGTCAGAAATAATTGGTTTTCATAGCAACTAATTTAATAATTAACAATAAAATATTGAAACAAATTGGCCAATAAGCTTTCTTAAGCGATTTAGTGATTTACTAATTATTCACATCGTTCAAGGAACGAAAACAAAATAAGAACTTACAAGAAAGCATTCTGGGAGAAAGAATTTTAGTCACGGTGATAGTGATGTGATTTGGCCTATTTGTCTGCATTGAAGCCGCGATTGTCTTTTCCTTTGTCCGGACGAATAGTATAAACGTATATACTCAGAACAACGGGGCGTCGAGGACTGCACAGGTTGAGTGCGTAAAATATTAAAAGCATTGATTGAGTGATTGTACGTATGCTTGAAACTAAAATGAAATAATAACATGATTTTCTTCCTAGTTTGTATATATAGTTCCACCTAAATGAAAGATTTGCTGATTGATTTTCATGGATAAATATTAATTGTATGTTTAAGAAAATGAAAATGAATATAAATTTCAAAATGTAGAGAGGAGTAAATTTTTTATTTTACTTAATTATTTTCTCAAATGGTTTTGATATAAAGGAAAAAAATCTTCTCTTATAAGTGCAATTCTAAATAAATATTAAAAGTTATTATGCAATTTTTAACACTATAATTAAAAGAATCTAATAAAAGCTTACCAAAAAAAAAGAATATAATAACTTTTTTTATAAGCTAAATGTTAAACTCATAGTTTATCATGTTTTAAAGAAGGGAAAAGTATTTCTCCAGTCACTAGTCACTGGAGATAAAGTTATCTTCAGTGAGCTCAAAACGATGTCGTTTTGGGATTATAAGATTAAAATATTATAATGATAAAGACTAATATAACCCTGCAATATATTAAAATTACAAAAACACTTTGATTTCCGACCCAAAATGACGTTGTTTTGAGCTCACTGAAGATAACTTATCTCCATTGACTAGAGAAATCCTTTACCCTTTAAAGAATTAAAATCCCTCTTATATCTAGTCAAAAACATGAAAATTTAGAGTTATTTGGTTAAAAACATTAACTTTGAACTATTAACTCATGTGAATGATTTTTACTTGTTTTGTGGGACAATTGAGTTGGATTGGAGCATTGAAGCAATGATTAAGTTAGAATGTTTTAAAGCGATAAATGAGGAGCCACAATTTAATGAAAATACCCCTGGAGCTGTCTTCTAGTCAATTTTTTGTATCAGAGATGATAGATTTGGATCTTGTGTTCTTCATAAAAGTTGTAGTCTTTCTTTTATCTTTCCAACGAAACCAAGATCATATCAAAATCGAACAAGTATAACTTAAGTTATGTCCAAAATACGAAAGCATATTTTTGCTGTCAAAATAGTGCATTTTAACGCCTGGTTGCAACACAATTAAGGCTCATTATGTGATTTTCACATAAAACAATTATTCTTATACCTATTTAAACTATTCTTCATGAGTCTTTGACAGTTCTTGACACCGAAAGCATAGTTTTCAACGGAGAAACTTATTTTTAATGCTTTTGAGAGTCAGAGATGAGTCAGAGGCAAGATTACATTGGAATTTTTGAAGATTCACCGTACCATCGCACCAATGGAGTTTGGTGAAGCTTTCTTGATTTCTTGTGTTCTTGATTCTACTATGTAAGGCTAGATTTCCTTTGTAGTTAAGGTTAAATGGAAACCCAATCAAATATTTATATTATGAATAATCTTTAATGTCAAATTTCCTTTTTATATTGAATGTATTTATCTTTTCTTCATGACTTCTGAGTTTGATCTTGTAGATTGATCTAGGGAGAGTATATGATAATAGGAATGTTGGTACATGAACCGCGCATGACAAATTCATCATAAATTTTTATGATTCTAGGGATAGACTTAGGAATAATGCAATCTTTATTATTCTTGGATTTAATGCTTATTTTTTAAAAAAACAACCAGGGAACTAAGATTTTTTAAAAAGAGTAAAGAATTAGAATGTCAAGGGATTGAATCTTAATTAACTTAGGGGAATTGATTGGCGATATGAAAAAGGGCGTTTAATTCATAACATTAAGGGGAGATTGGGAAAAATTAAAATCCTAACTGCATTTCTTGATTGTCAAATAACTCAAATTTTACCTTCTTGCTTTGTTATTTAGTTTAGTTTTCATAGAATTCGTTCAATTAATTGTCCAACTTAAGTGTAAATAGCGAATTAATGGTTGAAATATAATCCTCGTGGGAACAATATCTTACTCATACACTTTATTACTTGTACGACTAGTGCACTTGTCGAGTTCATAACACTAAACTTTGAATATTTTTTTTACTTGTTGATAAACTTTGATACTTTCTTTAGAAGAGTAATTGAGGGGAAACGATTTTGTTTGCCTTCAAAATCAAATGTCTTTGATAGTTCCATTTAAATCATTTGATAAACTGGTAATTTATTACATAAAGTAATTAGCATTTAATAAAAAAATGATTTTCCCAACATAAGATTTTTAGCATAGACTTTGAATAGCTTTCAGACGCTACACAAAATCTCCTTGTTACTGTCTCCTTCTTTATATCTTTAGAGCAAATCAATTAAAAAATAGTCTTTTTTTAATTGTGACTTTTTGCATCTAATTCTTAATTTATTTTTATATCTTAATTTATAATATCATTAAAATATCTTATATCTAAATTATTTTTTATTTATGTCTATATTTCTTAATGCATTTCTTATCTTTTCATTTGTCCTTTTTTTTGGTATGTTTGATTTCCCTGTTTAGATAATTTTTATGTGTCCCTCATGTAGCTCCATTTGTTTCGATTTTGCAAGTATTTTCATATATACTTTGGGAGGAAACGAGCTAAGTGACCGTTTTGCCTCTAATTAAAAAATATTATCACATTGTCCTTGTTTTTGAACTATTTAAAAATCTTAGCCTTTTATTAAAACATTAAATCAATCTACCATTGTTTGACCGTTGATTAAATAACCTACTCGAGTATGTCACCCACGTACTTGAGTAAGTTTCGAGGGAGTGATTACCAAAAAAAAATAATTTTGAGGGGATGAGTTGCTCGAATACGAGGCTTTGGTACTCGAGTAACTCATACACAGAAGTCCTATATGAGTGAGTTTCTTTTTTAATATACTCGTTTTCTACCTCAAAATCCCACTCGTTTCTCATCTTCATTCTAACTCATCAAAGTGACTTTCATTCCACCATCTCTAAACCTTTAATCTTTTGATGTCATTGTCATTACACTTATGTATTCCAATTTTTTTTCAAAACTTTGAACCTAAACCAAACCTTAATCCAAATTTTGTTTGAAAGATGAGCTCAAATTCAAATACTTATGTTGCAATTACCTACCACAATGCAAGACAATTTGAAGGTCCCAATGGTGCCCACTTTGAAGGACAAACCAAAATGATGCAAATCAAATGCGACACAATATGCAATGAACTTAAGAAAAGAATTCATCAAAAATTGGGGTTCTAAGGCAACTAATGCATTTCTCGCTTGTTAGCCAGGTATGAGACCAAAAATGGGTATTACATTGGTATTCCAATCAATTAAGATGAAGATGTTGATTTTGTCACAGTAGCATATATTAAGATGAAAGAGGAGAATTTTATTGAAATATATGCTAAAGTTGATATGGCCAGCCTTCATCTTTACCCATGCATATGAGTACTTCATAGTATTTTGGTCAAGAAGATAGATTTATCGATTTATCTACTCCTCCACAAGTGTTAAGTCAGATAACATAAAGGGAACAAGAAGAAGAGGAGGAGGAGGATATGGATAGTGATGAGAAGGGAGAGCCTGAAAGTGTTATTCCATTTGATGATTCATCAGATATTGACGTGGAAGGTGATTTTGATGATGACACAAACCCAATAAACATGAGTTCCCCTGCTTTGTCACTATTTCGTGTTGACCCTGTTAATAATGGTAAGTTAGTAAATTCTAATTTTTATTTAACATGTCGTATTTATCTTGTTAATGCTCTTGACAAAAATATCATGGTTTAGGTGTAATGCTGGAGATTATGCCATTATGTAATGAAAGCCAACATTATTCATATATTAAATGGGCGCATTCTAATGAAGAGATGTTATATGGTGATGATGGATTGCACGGTGGTTAGAAATTAAGGGATTTATTATATGTGCAACAAAAGTTTGATTCCAAGTATGAAATGCAACATGCTGCGAAATTATTTTGTGATGAGCACAGATTTGTAATGAAATGTCACAACTATGCTGAAGGTTGTCCCTGGTATGTGAGGGCAATCATGCGCAATAATGGAAATAAATGGGTGATCTGTAAGTGGGGTGAAGATCACAGCTGCTTGAACTAGACTCTTTCCCATGATCATAGATTGATGAATTTAGATTTTATATGTTCAGCCATTATAAGTATGTTTTATATAATGTGCAGTTATATAGTGTTTGTTTATGTTACTTATTTAATGAAAAATGTTGATGTAAGTATTGACTACTTTCTTTGTATTTGATACATATGTTAAAGGAATATCCTTATGTTCGACCAGTTCTGATCTAA